AAGTGAGCCAAAAGTCAAAAGTCATGTTTTCCCTCATATGTGGAAGCTATGCCTATAAGTTAAATGTATATATAAATACATATATAACCATATTATATATATATATGCATATGTGCATATATACATACACACATACGTATACATATAATGAAAGTGATAACAAGATTGTATTAGTGGGTCTGTCTGAGGGGACTACAGGAGGCTGGAGAGGAAGACAAAATGTTAGAGAATGAAAAATATTGAAACAACTCATGTATATATAAATATAATCTAATGTAATATATAAATATATATCATGTATATATAAATATAATCACTGTGTAAGCTGTTGAATATCAGTGATAAAGAGTAAGCAATGGGAGGATCAAATTGATTAAAGCATGATATATATACATATATCTGCCTGAAGTACCAAGGTGAAATCCCCTTAGATTATCAATATACACTTTAAAAAAAATGAAGGACACGAGGGTAAAACAGGTCTCTTTCAGGGCTGGGTACCAGTGGCAAGGGGGCGGTGGACATAAGCAAAGGGTGGATGAGTGTGAATATAGTGGATGTATTTTATATTCATATATGAAAATTGAAGAATGAAACCTGTTGAAATTGTTCTAAGGGGGGGAAGGAGGGAAGAGGGAGAATGATGGAGGGGAGTAAAATCTAAGATACATTGCAAGCACATATGTAAATATCACAATGTATCCCCCTGTACAACTATTATATGCCAATAAAAAAGAATAACATATGTGGTTATATGCAAATATACACAGGCAAAAGTTGAAAAATATATAAACACACACATACACATGCCATTTTACGTGTGCTCTTGAGTGCATGCACACATCTTAAATAAAGGAATCCAGGATAAAGACACTGTGACACAAGATTAGCACAACCAAGTCTCTTTCCTGCAATGCCCACACCTAGGATAAACTAGAGCCTCTGATTTTAAATCTTGTTAAAACTAAACATGGCTAGACTTGAGAAAACATTGGCCGTCATTACCTTTCTATTTCTTTCTACTAAGAGTGGGTGACTGATTGTTGAATGGACATCTGGTCCTCTCTTACTGTCCCTTATTTGGCTCATGACAAAATGAACCCATCCAAAACCAGGAGCCATCCTTGCTGGACTTAATGAGCAACTAACTAATCCAAAAAGAAAATAGCCATTACTTATCCAGCCATAATGGAGATGCAACACGGCATGGAAATCAGTAGCTCTCGTATTGCAAAACAGACAAATAGATTAATGCATGTTGCAAAGGGTGGGTGAGGAGATCGATTAGGTTACTGATTCAGACCGTGAACTTTCTCTCAATATACTGCATTTAACTTTTAAATAAGGTTTAGGAGAACCTGTAACATTTTGCTCACTGACAGAGCTATATTTTACTAAGGACAGAAATTGGCTAGTCTATAAAAATTAAATTATGCCCCTTTCACTGTATCTAGTCAAGAGGAAAAACTCTAATTACAAGATTGCACTGTCAAACAAATGCAAATTCACATTCTTTATACCCTGGTTTAAAAATTCATACTGGAAGAGGGGAGAGGCTTCTATTCTGAAATGAAAATCAATATTTGAAATATTTTGTGGGACTCAATGATAACCAAGAGCAAAAGAAAGAGGGCTGGTAAGTAGACACTAATCCATTAATTGCAGAGCCGGTGAGAATAAGTTCCTAGTTGCAAACATTTAAATATCAATTGGTAAGGACAATGAAAGAAGCTGAATCAAACCGTCCCTCCCTAACAGCCCATGTGTTTTTATCCCAGAAATGATCAAGGGGAAAAAGAGCAATGGAAAATAATCTCAGTACCTTTTAGAAACGCCACTCTGGGAGATAGGTAAAGGTTAATTTTAAATGTACTTCCCAATTGAAAATTAAATTTATCTGCCTCAAAAATCATAAAAGCTGAGTTTTCAGACTTAATCCAGAAAGGACTAACTAAAGGCCTGGGCATATTGCATCGCTGGTAGTTTTGAGAGAGAGAAAACACCTTTCGTTACTGCTTAATGTCAGGCTGGCTTAGTTCATTAAAATTTCTTAGTCCATTTAAAACCTTGGTTTTTCTAGAGCTATAAAAAAATGCCAGTCCATGGTAGCACTCAAACTTTAAGAATCCAGTTGGTTGTTTTTCATATTCTTTCAACAACCACATTGTGCCCTGTCTACTCAGCCTGTCAGGTGAACCTGATGGACACAAAAAATTGTCTCAGTTGTTAGAACTTTGCCTGAATTATCTTTTCAGTCAAACTCAGTGGTATGCTTTAGTCTGTAAGAGGCTGGCAGATGGCATCATAGGTTTCACATGTCTCTTAATAATAGCTGGCTGCTGGATTTGGACCAGACATCTAACTTTTCCCAACCTTATTTTGTTCTGTAACACAGAAAGGTTTGTCCAGATCAACATTTCCCAACTTGGAGCATACCAGAATCACTTGAGAAGCTTATAAAAGTCTCATGGCCACAGATGTATGAAATAAGTTTCTTCAAGGTGTGCCCAGGCATATAGAGCTCAGCAAAACTCCAGGAAGATGACACTATGTAAACTTAAATAAGAGTCAGTGAGGCCCTTACAACTTGAATGCACTAAGATTCTCAGTATAGCATATGTTATTAATCAATTCTAACTTTAATCCCTTATGGTATTATTTAATAAGCATTACTTTCTCCAGAGTGAAGCTGACCATGCAGTAGAATTAAATGCTGACTGGTTGTGGCATGGGGAAGCAGTCTTCCAAAAAGGACTACCAGATTTCACGAGACACTGTAGGTAAAATGCTAAGGAAAGAGCCAGAAGGATAGGGCACATAACAGAATTTAGCTCTTAGAGCTGCAATGACTATACTACATTGTTGTCATTTAGTATTTAAGTTTGGTCTCCATTCTTATTGGCAAGAAATTAAACTGACTGTTCTCTAACAATTACATGACATACACAAGGAAGTGTGCAGGAAGGAATTATCAGCCCTAGACATTGCTCTCTGGTGCAGAAACAAATGCATTTGGCGGGTTTCTACTGAATTTAGAACCACAATTCTTTGCACATGACTAGATCTGGTGCCCTTTCCCATACTGGTTTTCCTTTGTGTTTATCAACTTCTCCTACTTTTAGAACTTTAAGACTGGACTGCTTCTACTTCATTCTCTCCACTTTTTGGTTTATGGCCTGTGGAGAGAGGATCCTGGTTTTGGAGATGAGGTGGCCAACTTGACTATGAAAAAAAGAAACCTTGGCCAGACACTTACAGACTGTCATGTTGAAGTCTCCTGTGGGCGAAAGGACTTATGCCTGCTCTGCCTTTTTATAGGCTGGCTTGCAGGGGAGAACGAAGCAAGGTGAAAACCAGCACTTTGAAAATGGAATGGTGTGATATTCAGCTTAGATACACACATAGGGAAGAAGAAATGCTTCTCAGAAAAAGTACCTCTTCTGACTTGAATTCAGTTCACATCCTTTTCTCAACTGCATCCCAAGGTTATAAAATGTAACACCCAAGTAAGCAGTGGCCTTGAGGATTCTGAAGTTCTTAATGTGCCCACAGTACAGCTAATCTTGTCTGGCTCTAAACTACTGTGTGGAAGACAGCCTTTAATACTTAAAGGGCAGGAAATGTTTTGCTCGGGTAAAATGAAGGAATGAAACACAAGTACAAAGAAATCACTTGTCAAAGCTATCTGTATCAATTTTAGCTAAAAAAATTACCACAAACTTTTGTTTTTTTCTGCTTTCTTAACAGCTCTAATCCCACATGTCAAAACAATGCTTGCTACTTTTCATGGACTTATTCTTGAAAACAATTACATCTCATACTTCCCAGAAGAGTGTTTTTGGTAGAAAGAATTACACCTTGGCCAATAATGACCTATGAAGAACAGCCTATAAAACCCCACACAATACTCATAGCACAGAGATAAGCAAGCATATGTGCTCCTCAAATAACATTTTTCAGTCTCTTCTTCAGAGGAAACTGCTTTCCCAAGGTGCTGCCTTTAAAACTAGCACTTTTATACTGGTTTGCCAGTGAGTTTAGGACATCACGTAACAGTTGTAATCACCTCACAGGGCTCGGTGGGCTGCTCAGTGAACTACAGGATCAGGGCTTTGACTCATTCAATGTCATTCATCACTCTGTGCTATTTCCCATCTTTTCAATGGACTTTAAATGGCAAAGTCTCTATTTATGAATTTGACCTTGGAATTAAGCAACAACTTTACACAGTCTCAAAGTTCCAGTTACATTTTGGGGGACTTTGACTTCTGTGCAGACTATTGGGAAGGATGGTGCTTGGGAGTCCTACCTCCAAAAAGACTCTTAACTAGAGTTGGGTTGGCTCCCACCAAACCCCCTTCTTCCCTTGCTTAGTGCAAGGGGTGTCTGTCAGCCAGCAGGTAGCTAAACTGGTTGAGCCAAGAGAACAACATTCCTTTGAAAGATCTTGGCAATTTGTGCCTGGAATTTGATGCATTAGTTCTAAAATTAAATAAAGATGCTATAGTGTTCTTCAAAGAAATATGGTGTGGCTCTATGACAAAACACATTTTTCAAGCTCTGACCTCTGGGAACTTCAGCCAGCACCATATTTCAGGCTGACATTGCTCACAGGCTGCTGTCTAGTTGCCCAAGCCGGGGCTGGTTATTCATATATTTTCCACCCTCTGATCGGCTGCTAGCACAAGGAGGGGAGGGAGTAAGTAAAAAAAAAGAAGAGAGCCACTGATTTAAATGTACTTCTCCTCCCAAGTCCCTTGGGTAGAAGCCCTGGTAATTAACTCTAATGAGATTAAAGTAATTTAGAACCCTTCATTTTCCCAGCACTGTTAAAAGTAAATCTGTGATAACTAACCAGTGTGTGTGTGTGTGTGTGTGTGTGTGTGTGTGTGTGCGCATTAAATCAGAGTCAGCCCCTTTTCCTGTAATTTAATGGCTCCTCCCTCTCAACACCCAGACCTGACCTGAAAGGTGGAAGAGGAGAGTTGCTGGGTTCTTACCCGCACTTTGCTCCATCACTTCTTTCTGACACATATCTTGAACATTCACCGTGCAATTCACGATGAACTCAGGGGAGGAGCAGTCGTTGTTCAGCTGGAATTCTTCACACTGGTAGCACTGAATTTGCAGCGCAAAACCTGTGGAACAGATGTACTCGGGTTCAGGTCTGTCCCTCACAGAGCCCACTTATCTCCCGCCCCAGAGAGTCGCGCGGCTCCTGGCCTCTGGGATGCTCCAGGATCTGTGCTACTAGGTCTCTAGAAAGGCTGGATGTGGCTGAAGCCGGCAGGGGGCGGCGCGGGTACCAAGGGTCCTGCAGGATAAAGGCGAATACTGCCAGACCCCTAGATTCCTGCTCTAGACACAAAGAACCCATCCGACACCACCCTGGGCCTTTTCCCACGAAGTTGAAAGGACGAGGGTGGGGTACAAACCCAAGAGCTAAGTAGCTTTAGAGACAAGCTTCAGCTCCTGTCTACGCCAAAGGATTTGCTTAATTGCTAATTGGTTACAAATTACTTAATTACTATTTTGGCACCATTCATGATTGCATTCGCAGACGCCTTTTTGGTTTTACTTAATTTTTGAAGCCAGCGTTCGTGTACTGTAGCCCCGAGGCTTCCTGCGCGACCACCAGGGAATCCGTGAGGAGGTTCCTGGAGCCAAGTGCTACTGCTTGGCAGGCGGCCTTTCCCCCTGACTATTCTCACCACAGCTGGGGTGGCTGCGGCGGGTAGGAGGGGCTTGTGTGTGTGTGTGTGTGTGTGTGTGTGTGTGTGTGTGTGCGTGTGTGTGTGTGTGTGTGTGTGTGTTTGGTGTGTGGCGTTGTGCACGCGCGCTCCCCGGGCCGCGACACCGCAGCTCTTTCTCCCCGGGCCCGGGCCGGGCTTTTTAAGGCAATCATGGGCTAGGGTCCGCGGTCCGAGTCCCAGCTCTGCAGAGCTCCATCCCGAGCGGGGAGAAGAGCGAGGCAGACATTAGCACCTTTCATCGCTCCAGATCTGGGAGCTTCTGTCTAGACCCAGTCGCCGGCCCTGCTGTGTCCCCTTCAAGCTCCACACGGATCGCACTCTGAGCGCAGCAACGCAGCCCAGGCGCCGCCCGGCAGCAGGCGCCCGCCGCTCACCTGTCGGCGGCGCCACTCCCACGGGTTGCCAGAGACGCTTGATAAGTTGGCGCGGTTCAGGGGCCGTTGTCCCCTCTCCTTCGCCCAGACCCCTGCACGACTCAGACCCTTTCTCTCTCCAACCTCTGCCCCAGTTTCTCCCAACTGTGTATGTACCCTGAGCAGCTGCAGCCGGGAGTCGCGCAAATCCGCTGCTCCCAGCACTCCTGCGGCGCGGGACTTGGAGACTTTCCCAGTCTGGCGCCTTTGGGCACCAGTCGCGGTCGCCAAACTCCCGCGGGGCAGAGCCTGTGACAGCGCCCGCCGCGAGGTGGGCGCACCGGGGGCGAAGGGTAGATGGCCTGTGAGCGGCTGCTGACCTCTTTATCTTCTTACCTGGAAGCAAGAACAATCCGCAAAAAGTTGTCGTGATGCCGAGGACCCACATCCTCCCCGAGCCGCGGATCCCGGAGCGGACAGGCGCATCAGAAGCGGCGACAGCAGCGGAGGCTGCCCGGGCCGCAGCGACTGTGGCTGCCGAGGCTGCTGGGGCCCGTGCTGCTGCCGCCCAGGCGACGGCCGCCACCGAGAGGAGCCGCAGGTGTCGCCCGCACCGCCCGCATCGCCCGCTCCGGGGCTAGTAGCTGAGGATTCCCGCTCCTCTCTCTGGTCCCCCCGGCCGAGCGCGGCGTCTCCGGAGTTGGTGAGGCTGAAGAACTACTGGTGATCCCGAGCACCCAAAAAAGTCTCGCCTCTTTTCCCGCCCCCCACCACTCCAGGCACCACGTGACAGCTGCCGAGTTGGGGGTGGGGGTGGCGGGCGGGGAAGGCTGGGACTGTCTCTACGTCCCCACCCCCTCACTGCTGCCCTTTTCTCCCGCCTCCGCACGTTCCTGGGGAAGAGATGAGTAGTGTAGTTTTCAGAGATTGGGAGGCTGGAGGTGGGGGGAGCGGCGAGGAGGGCGCAGCAGGTGCCGCTGGGACCTGCTCAGCGCGGACTCCGGGACCTGTGAGATGATGTCAAGAAAACAGTGCTGGACTAGGCCTTTGCGCGCTGGGGCTCGCTCTCATGTCCTGTGTTCTCTCCAAGTGACAATCAATACCCCAGCGACTGGGTTGGCCCACCCAGCTGGAGTTCTTGTGCTACCCGCCGCAGGAAGACGGGGGACCAGGGGGTGGGGGAACCTGCTCCCAGGCACCTAGCAAAGTTGCAAACCCGCAGCGTCCCTGGGGTTGCCGGTGCAACCGTACCCCTCTTTCTACCAATAAATCCATTACCGGTAGTTACCACCTTCCGCAGAATGGGTGGGAGTGTGGTGGGGATCCTGCCCTGACTGGGGAGCTTGCTGGGGCTGCCTTCTCGTCGCTTGGATTGCGAGCATCGCTGGAGGGTGCGTTGACACTGCCCTGGTCGCCTAGACCAGCAGAAGCCGCCCAGGATACAACCCTTATGCGCCCATTGGAAAGCAATACTCTCCTCCATACCCTCCCTCCAAAAGGTCGGACACCTTCATTCTGCGAGCCAAAGCCACGAGTTATTAGTATATACTCTGTAAGGCGCCATCCCTGCCCAAGACTTGGCCGCCGGCCGCACCCCCTTTCCTGCACCCTTATTTTTCTTCTTTCTGTCAGTTTAAAGTGACCCACCTTGGTATTCCCCAGACGCCATGGCGCTATTTTCGCCTTTCTCGCAGAGCTTTGCAGCAGGTGGTGGTGCCGAGTCCGCTTGCCTGGCTGGAGCTGCTTGGTGCCCCAGCCCCCAAACCAGCCCGTTCCCACCCCTTTGTCCCAGATCTCCAGGGAGCATCCATTTCAGTGGAAATGGCCTCCTAAGCTTTGCTCCTCTTCTTCAGCTGTCTCGCGGGAGAAACTCTCGGACTGGGGCGCAGATCATTTACTACCCCATCCTGCCAGTAGAGCAGATCTGGAAGTGAGCGTTAATGACTTTCTTGTAATTCCTATAAAGAGAACGTTTCATACCTGCCTGGGGCTCCTTCTCTCCCTTTGCCCCCCCTTTTCCTCTCATTTCTAGTTGGTTAACCCCTTGGGGGAGAATGAAATGCTTTGACCATTACTCGCTTGTCTGCAGACTCTGATCTTATAATTGACTGAATTACTATCACGGGAGCAAAAGGGCCAATGTAGTTATTCCTTCGGGGGAATTCATCCTTGGAGCATGAGTGAGTCACGATTGAAATAACAGACTGGGCCAAAGGGTCCTTGGACAAGTTCTTTTCAGCTTTCAGAGGGAGCAACCGTGATAGCATTTTTATTCAGAAATGAAACAAAAGGACTTTGGAAAGTCCAAAAGACAAGGACACTTTACATAATTTTCATTTACGATAACAAAATTCAAATATGACGAATTGCACAAATGAACAAATAACACTGATCGTACAATACTCTTTACAGAAGCAAGTGTGTGCTAAAGTAACCATATAGATCCTAAAAATAGTTCTAATTTACAAGCTTCTGTACAAAAGCAATTATAAATAGTTCACATCTAGAAAAAATACATGTAACCTTTAAAATAGAATTTATCCTTACATATGAACAGTCTTTGTAGAGAAAAAAGGATATTAAAAAGTAAGTAATTTTTGTAGCACCAGCCATTTTATTTTTTAAAAAGTGAACATGGCAAATAGGAATTTACTTTCATTTCTAGAGTACCCAGAGTTTAATAAAAAGAGCAGGAAGATAAAAATCAACAAATAATACTCAGAATCATAGAGAAGTACTAAGGAGAAGAGGATGTAAGGAAAATGTTTTTTGGGGGGAATGCTTTTGGAAACAGGATTAGTTTGTTTCTGGAGTCAGTGTCACACTTCCAACCAGTGCCTACACTTCATTTTTCAGTAAAAGGAGAATTACACTTATTGCTATAACTCAAATCTCTGGCAACAATTTCAAAATTGTACTACAATTAAAATTCCTATCAAGATGAGATTGTGAGATGATTACCGTGATCCCTGTTTTAGGTTACAGAGTGCACCCACAAGTAATTCGAAGACTGAGACAGTGAACTTCACAAAATCTTAAGTGGAATTTTAAAAAATATATTATCAACTTCTAACACTTCGTACATCATTTCAAGAGCATGGGACCAATTCACTTATTGCAATATATTTTCCCTACAAATATAATTTCTCTTCCAAAAAATTTACAACTTCTGTACAAGTATTTTTAAAAAGTGCAAAATTAAGAATTCTGTATCGTGTTTACTTTTAATCCTCTTGAAACATAACACATGAAGTCAATCTTTATTGCCCTGTTAGAGAAATAGCTCTGGTGGGTTGCCTGCTGTGAACTTGTCAGGTATTGCAAATTTATGTTCATCTTCTCTACATCCCCATCCCCGCTATTCCCAGGTCCCACAAAGGTGGGAAATAAAGTCCTTTATACACCATTTGAACCTTGACTTGCACAAGAAGAGAAGCTATCATATAAAGAATCACTCAAAGATTCCAAATTGTCCACCCCAGGCCTATCTGAGCTACTCAAAGATGCTTCTTCATTTTTTTCTTTTTCTTCTTTTTGTCCTTCAGTCTTGTTCAGAGAGTTTTCTTTTTCTAATAAAATCACAGTATTGCTGTTAAATTGATTGAATGACTCCAGGGAAATTTTAGATAATCTATTCTCAGGATCTTCTTTTGTTTCTTCAACTTGTTTCAATTTCTGCAATAAAAAGAAGAAAATATTAGAAACATATTTCTTTGGAAAATCAAGTTATCCTATCCAATATTCAATTACTATCTAAAAATAAAGTGTAGTGTAAAGGGATAGAAAGAACCTACAAGTCCCTAACAATCTTCCAGTATAATTAAATGTAATAATAAAGCTAATTTTAGGGATAAATCAAGACTTTAATCATTTTACTGAGATAACTAGGTCCCAATTTGCAAACCAGTTAAGTGTTATTTAATTTCATTTTAAAGGGATCCATTTGAAATTTCTTCAGGTAAAGTGCTTTATTTTTCTTAATCAATGTTTCAAGCTCTGTTTTCTTGCTAAGTATTAGTTGTACTTTTTGCGAATATGGATAAGGATTGAGTTTCAGCCAGAAGTTATAGTAATTTGCAAGAAAGACATAAAAATCCCTTCCTTAAATTGTTGTAAAATATAAGTGCACATTAAACTTGTCAGAAGCATCATCGTGTTTGCATGTTGTTGCTTTATGAGATTTAAGATATTTGAAAGTGATCTCCAGGTCTTTTGTTGTAGAATACACAAGGCCCAAGGGCCTAAAAATCACAGTAACCAGTCTGCAGTTTAGAAATCCCTCCTTTCCAGGAGGTTCTAGCAATACCAGTTTATTCCAGGATATTTACAGAATGTTACTAGTACTCTCTAGGACTGTGTAAAATACTTCATTCATACTTAGTAATCATTGCAGCTAAGCCCTGTAAACACGAATACGTTCAGTTGCTCAAGTGTTGGGGTGGAGACAAAGGGAGGCACAGATGCAAAAACACAATGAAAAACACAAAGAAAACCTCTTAAACATTTCTCTTATCTTCTTTTCTTTCAGGGAAAAACTCCATTAAACAGAAGGAAGAACTGGGAACAGGGCTTAGAGCTGATAATAACAGCTACCATTTATTAAGCCTCACTAGGTAAAAGACACTTACCAGAGTTTTTCTATCAGCTTTTTCACAAACTTGTAAGCTAAACACCTTATTTAATTTTATTGACCCATGTGTTATCTTTAAGATTATTGCATTATAATTATGCATATGTATAGTGTACAATTAATGTTTCCATCCAAATACATAATGTGTAATGGTCTAATCACGACCTCAAACATTGTTCATTTCTACAGAGTGAGAACATTCAAACGCCTCTCTTCTCCTTATTTTGACATATACAATACAGTATGCCCACCTATACGCACTCTACCTTGTGCACAATGGAACATCAGAACTTATCTCTCCCATCTCACTAGCATTTGTATGTGTTGACCAACTTTAAAGATGAGGAAAACAAGGCTCAGAGTGACAGTTACTTGCCTAAGGTTGCAGTGCACATGGCAGAGAACAGGATTTGAGTTTCAGTTTGGCTGTCCTCTGTGCTCTCATTCTTCCTACTAAACCATGCTCTTATGTAATAAGGGACAAAATATTGTGCTTGTTTGTTTTTCATTTTGTTATTCAAATGTTCCATTTCACCAATGTGGCAAACCATCTCTGACATATGCGATTCCCTTTACCACCCACCCCGTGCCCCATATGTTCATGTTGGACTTACAAAGGTGAAATGAGGAAATTGATTTTTGATGGGGACAAATAGATCCAGCCAAAGCCTCTGGATTCTCCTATGCTAAATATTTAACAGAAAGAGAAGAGATGGAAACAAATGGCTTCAGTGTCCCATGAGCAGGTGCGGGCAGTTTCTCTGTTATGGGAAAAGGTATAATTCTATGGGGAATATTTGAAAATCATCCTTGAACTAGTGCTTATTTCATTATACTATTAACATGCAGGAACATTACTCATGGAGCTAATTTTCAATCTCAAATGGTTATCTCAAAACCATAGGGAGACTGAGCCATAGATTCCTAACTCAGAACAGAGAAGTGATTCCATAATTAGGGATAACTCCATGCAAGAGCCCTTAGTTAGCGCTG